CTCAGATGACTTACCTCCGGCTCTCTTTAAAGATGGTGGTGACCTGACTAAGGAATTGACTGTGTTGTTTGGAAAGGTTTGGGAGCAAGAAAGTGTTCCAACATCATGGAATGAGTCGATAGTCGTCCCTTTCTTTAAAAAGGGTTCACGTTGTTCCTGCAATAACTATCGGGGGATAAGTCTACTTTCGATTGCGTCCAAACTATTGGCTTCTATCATTCTTCGTAGGTTGTTTGAAACGCGAGAACGATTGACTCGCGAGGAGCAGGCTGGTTTTCGTTCTGGTCGAGGATGCATTGATCACATCTTCACCCTCCGCCAAATGTTAGAACACCGTCATACTTATCGCAGGCCAACAATCGTAGTGTTTCTTGATATCAGGGCTGCCTTCGATTCGTTGGACAGGACTGTTCTCTGGGATTGTCTATTGAAGAAGGGTGTGCCTAGGAAGTTCATTAACATCTTAAAGGCCCTGTATACGAACACCTCAGGCAGAGTGAGGGCATACAACCACCTTTCTCCCTTGTTCCATTCGAGCAGTGGGGTTAGACAGGGTTGCCCGATCTCACCATTCTTCTTCAACTTTGCCATCGACGACATCCTGGAAACAGCTCTGATGGATGTAAGTAATGGCGGTGTGGATATGTTGCCTGGAGAACGACTTCTCGACCTTGAGTATGCGGATGATATTGTCTTACTGTGCGATAATGCTCAAGCCATGCAATCCGCACTTAATCAGTTGGCAATCAGTGTCCGCAGGTACGGCATGTGCTTTGCACCCTCCAAGTGCAAAGTACTCCTACAAGACTGGCAGGATTCTCATCCTGTACTCACCCTGGATGGTGAGCAGATTGAAGTAGTTGAGAAGTTCGTGTATCTAGGTAGCTATATAAGTGCTGGTGGTGGCGAGAGTGATGAGATTGATCCACGTATAATGAAAGCCAGAGCGACTTATGCCAATCTGGGCCAGCTTTGGCGCCTTCGTGGTGTTAGTCTGTCTGTAAACGGTCGGATCTACAACGTGTCGGTGAGAGCAGTTTTGATCTATGCTTGTGAATCCTGGCCTCTCCGAGTTGAGGATGTTAGACGACTCTCTGTGTTCGATCATCGTTGTCTCCGAAGGATTGCCGACATCCAGTGGCAACACCATGTTAGTAATGCAGAGGTTCGGCATCGTGTGTTCGGGCGCAGAGACGATAATTCAATTGGTGTCACCATCTTGAAACACCGACTTCGGTGGCTTGGACATGTTTTACGAATGTCGTCCCAGAGACTTCCGCGTCGTGCATTATTTGCCGACCCTGGGACTGATTGGGAAAAGCGGAGAGGAGGTCAGTGTATGACATGGTGTCGTGGCATGAAAGAAAGCTGCAAAGGGCTAGCTTCTGTTGGTCCTTCACGACTCCCTGGCTGGGGTCCGAGAGATGGTTATCAGATATGGCTCAGAATAGAAGCCAGTGGCGATCCTGCTGCAACCTTCTTTTACTTTCTACATAAAGAATGGTTCTAACTTTCTTAACTGAAAGAGTCTTCTGGTTGTACATTTCAGTCCGCCTTATCTTTTCATCCCTTCTCTTCCTACTTTCATTATTTTGTGTGGCGCATATGTATCTGGTGCCCTTTGGTACCAATATATATGTGTTTAAATAAAATAAATAACGGGGATCCATTTTAGTAGTGTTTGTTCTGCCCTCGTACTAAGTGCTATGCCTACACCTTCAAGTCCACGAGAACTACTCATGGCTTCGCCAGATACACGGAGGGTGTATTTCGTTGGCTGTCTATCTTGGCGAGGTGAGGTCAAGTGAATGACCACATTGGGATCCTGTACGCGTGTTTCGGAGACACAGCATACATCAATGGTACGAGATTCTAGGGTTTTAGCCAAGAAGGCCTGTTGACCGATTTGGCTTAGGGTACGTACGTTGAAGGCTCCAATGTGTAGTTTGGAGCGAGGTTTTAGTAGACCTGGGACAGCGTTTCGCGCACTAGAATCGTTGGCCATGGTGACACTTGCGGAGAAAACCAAAAGAGGAAGTTTAGTGTTGAAAGTTGAGGTAGAAGGAACAGTAGGAAGTGAAGGAGATTGATTATGAATACAGTGGTCTTGAATGCTGTTAGAGGTATGAGGGCATTTATCACTTCCCGGTTGCCCACACCGTGGAAGGGTTCTTCTGGAGGTACCTGAAAAGGAAATTGGTTAGAAGTGGTCTTAATGACCTGAGAGCATGACCGCAGTGCCTAAGGGACAACTACTCGACGTCGGTTACACACGACCTTTTTGTGTTAGCTCCGTTCCTTAAAGGACCTTACCGCCGGAGACGGATATCCGTGGGATAAGGCGAGGTGTGCATTTTTAGGGTCGACCTTTTCTAACCCCACTCCTCCTTGTGGGAAGGCAGCATCGCTGTCATGCTGGTTGTCTGAAGGAAACATCTTACTGCCGTCATACCTCTGTACAGTCGGCAGAACGACTTCGCCTTCGGACCATGGGTTTGCTGCTCTTAGTCTTAACGCTCTTCAACCGACCTGTCTGGCATGGTAGGACCTTGAGGAACGATTGTTCCAGCCAGTATAGCTCGATTGGTACATTACACAAATGCTTCTTAAGGAACTAATGGTAGTTGAAGAATCTATGGGAATTATCTGTAAGTATTGAATTAGATAACATTTATCCCATCATTTCAAAATCGTCCGCAATTTTACTAAAATAAGCGTTAGACTAACTGTTTAATACAAAAGTACTTTGCAGGTGAGATTTTGTTATTATATAAAGGGAACATGATAAGCGTCTACATACAGTGGACGCTTCATACAAGCAACTTGATAATTTAGAATGCTTATGTATTGTTTTAATTCATATAAATCAAATCAGGTGAACCTTACCAGTAACAAGCGCCACGTACATGAATGGCTTAAGCTTGAAGGCAATTTAGGAGGGACGGAAAACGTATACAATTCCCGCAAGTCTCCAGAGAGTTACATATTTTCCCCTCTGAAACTACAAGTTTGAGCGTACTCATGGATAGTTTGATGTTTCTTTTTACCGTGATAATGATGATTCTTTGTACATCTCATTACAGATATATCATCACGCGAATAGACTGATCAAGCATATTAGCACGGTCGGGCTAATAAATATAGTGAGATGAATATACTGATTTCTATCAATAAGCCTCCAATTAGTAAAATTTATTTTGATGGTTCGCATAGGTTAAAGTACAGTTTCAGAGCCGAAACATTCGTTCACAGGCTATGAAGTGTCCTTGAGTTTTGGGGATATTACACATTGAGGTAGCCGGTGTCCGATGTCATAGGCAATATCCTATTTTCTGAAGCATATAAGTTACAACATGAAATCATTCAACGCACCACACTGTCAAGTAAGAAACGTTTACAACAGCCACTAGCTGATTGTGCTTTCGTGGACAGGTCGCCACCCCAGTTATTGCGTCAGCTGAAGCAATAGATTGAACCGCATACTGTCAACGATGCCTTTTAAAAAGAGATCTGGAAGCAGAAACTACCAAATGCAGCTCAAATAACTCTGTGATAATCCAGTCAACCACCAAACCTAGGGAATGACCGGTCCTACGCTGTAATGACAATAACTTTTACTGGTCAGCCCAGTAGTTGCTTTTTTGACTGCTGGATAGATACTTAGATTCCAACTTCCCCAGTGGACACAGGAGCTAATGTTAGTATAAGTTCAGTCACACCAGCCCAGTGAGTGGTGAGAGTACCAAGTATTTATTGAGTACGGTATGCGAAACAAAAACACCTTTAGAGAACAGCTACATAAATTATACATCGGTATTAGACGTCATCTAAGTTTAATTTTCATTGTGGAGGATTTTCGCCACCCTATTTTGGGTGTAGAATTTCTATGCACATTCAAATTCTTAGTTGATGTTAGCAAAAGAAAACTTAGCGACAGCTGTATACAACTACATGTTTATAGGCTTTTTTGGGATGCAATAAAAACCCCTGTGAATGAAGTTTTTGCTGATTTTGTCAGCCAGTTCATGGATTAAGGCTGACTTACCACGATGATAAAGTAAAGCACATGGCATTAAGTTATATCTAAAGGTGAGGGAACACAGTCATTGTCTACTGTTGTATAAAATTAAAATTAGAAAAGCATATAATCTTGTTTGCAAGAAATGCTTAGTGTAGGACAAGAAAAGAAATTCTCAGCAAACTTACACGTTATGGTGCCGAAACTATACATTTGTGGGATAATGTGAGATGTGAATTTTTATGGTCGACCTTTTCCAACCCACCCTTTTTGTGGGAGGGCAGCATCGCTGTTATTCTAGTTGTCTGAAAGGAACACCTCTGTGCAGTCAGTAGTACGACTTCTCCCGCGGATCTTAGATTTGCTGCTTTTAGTGTGACCGCTCTTCAACTGACCTGTCTAGCATGGTAGTACCCTGAGAAACGATTGTTCCACCCAGTATATTTTCAGTCTGTTTCATCACGATAGGCAAGCCTGACCGCCACGTCAAGGTAGCACCATGGTCGGGAAGGATTCTAATGTTATGTTTTCATTTTCTGCTATTATTTAGATCTATTTTCCAATCACTATTGGTTCATGATAATGCACATTAATTCAGTAGATAAACTAACAGTTAGTCTAAAGTCATTTCGTTCTTGTACTAAAATAATTTCTAAGCTAATTGGTGAAATGCAAATGACTAATGGGTTTACAGAAATATAGCCACCTGTCCCACCCCCAACAGTACGATTAGTCGGCAAATTTATTCACTTTGAGAGATAACACTTTTGAATGGGGTTATTATTAGGAATCGAATGTAAGTTCTGACCAATGGGCTTAATTTTCACTCTTAGTCAGGTAGTGTGCTCAGACTACTGTTATTTTTCAAAATGGACAAATCACTAACTGAGCTTCCCATCTAAAGGAAGTTTATTTTCCTTCGCCTAAATACCGTTGGTTTCTGAAAATTGTTACAAACCATACACGTTGTTTTCTTTTTTAGTATGGATTTTGGCTTCTTCGTTGCTTGGTAGCTGCTCATCATATGATAGATAGATTTGCAGGTAGTAAAACCCAATTTTAGAGTGTAAACTACCTAGTTAATCATGTTATTCGACACTATATGATATGTAACACAAACACAACGACATCTCCAAGGCGAAGGATACAGTATTCTCAAGTGACACGCAACCTGGAAATAAGTAAACGACAGATTTCCAAGGGATTTAGCAAGATATTTACGCTAGAAGTTAAGATTGTCGACGAGTACTATATAAGGACCCTCAGTAACTGGGTAAGAGTTCAGTTTTTTTAATCTTATTTAATAGCAAGTCACATGTCTATTATGGTTTGGTTTTTTACTGTTGAGTCGCAGTTGCATATGTCCTTCATAACATCTTTCAGAATGACTTTAAAAAAGGGGGATTTGTTATCAATTATAAGGAGTCTAAACTTCTCAGGATACCATGATTTTAGATACTAACTGGTTTATAATGAAAGTTAAAATATTTGCGACTCATACAAGCACATTCTGCCTAGGTAAGGATTCAATTTCCCTATTATTCATGATAGTGCAGTCATAGTGCAACCCAACGGTTCCAGGAGTTATCAGACATAACTCAGGATATACGCAAGCAGAGAAAAATGAGGGACATCATACGCCGAAAGGAGTCCTTGCTGGTTGTAATTCAAACAAAACTGTATTTCCTATCATACATTATTGTTCCTCAATTATTCGCTTAAGTAATGGATTAAAACGGAAAGAAAAGAACATGTCCAGAATTTCGTGGATGCTTCAAATCCTGTTTGTTATGCGACCTGTTTCACAGTTTTTAATCCTAATCGAGTACTGCCCTACTTCGTCTATGCTCTCTGTACCTATCTTGGAATGATCTAATATATATATATATATATATACCCACGTACGTTATTTTTGGTTATTGTTAACCTTAATTGGTAAGGTAAACCTTGAGTTTTAGGTTGATTGCTCTAACAATATCGTCTCGTTTTAATGGGGTATGACAACTCAAACCGGTGTACATATGTACCAGGCTCTATGTTGCGTTTGGTTGACTGATAATTTTAAATTCTGTTGCCCTAGAGCGTATGCCTTTCTTCAATAGTAGAACATTAGTTTCATTAAACAGTAACCATCCAGTTTAACCGATCATGCTATAAACTATAGACGTTTATATTATTGTAGAACTACATTTAAAGAGATTTAGACAATTAATAATCGATGAACGTTAACTACACGCATGGTCAAAATAGTGGTATGTGCCACATAAGTTTACAAGTCCCATGAAAAATAACAGATTCAAATGACGACTAGCATTGTTTGTCATATAAAATACTGGGAAGTTTCACCAAGCTTGCAAAGAATGTAATACTTAACATGTTAGCTTGCCTGCAGTACATTGTTTCCAGAAGACGGAAACCACTACATATTATATTTATGTGTGGTAATTCATTAGGTAAAGAAATGTAAATGTAGCGAAATAAAAGTAGCTGTCCTCGACTCTTACACTATGCGCTTACATGGTTTAGCGTATCTAGTAGTTCATGAAGCCGTCTGCTACTCGACTTTCGGTTGAACAGTACCGATTTTTTAGTTTCATGAATAGTTAACACGATTTGTTTATTTTATTTGCACACAAAAACATTGGTACAAGGGGGCACCAAACAGATATATGCCACACAATAACAATGAGACCAGTAGCAGTTATCATTGATTAGTGTTTGCCCAAACCGAAGCAGGTGGTTTTCTTAGAGGGTCACACTCCGAGCCTTTGACCTGAAGGCCTAATCCACAAGACAGTGAAACAGCGTCAGAAGATGCAGTCTCATGGTAGCCAGTGACTAACAGCAGGTTCATATGCCTTTTGTTCCCTCGGGATCCTGGAGCTCGTGCACACCATTTGTTTGAAATCAGAGTTTTTCAATTCCCCTAGGTCTATCCTCCATATCCACCAATCCAGTTAAAGCGCCGGGCATTTGCTTTTTGTCTTCTCATTTTCGTAAACAACATTCCCACCACGGGGGGGCAATGAGTAGGACTTTCTTAACAGTGGCTATATACGCATAGACGTGTGAGAGCGGGCTCTCTCCACCCTTGGCCGTACCAGGGTAGTTGATACAAGCCATCACTTGTGGTACTACTGTAGTGGACGCTACTCACAAGGATGTTTGTAAGTAGTATGTAGCGGAACGCGGTGTTGGAGTCGCACCAATTTTTGGAATGAAAAGTTTCAATGCAGCGAAAGCGCGGCGCTGGTGGAATACTTGAATACCAGATGAAAAGGCAGTTAGGACGGCAAAACACATTGAAAGATGCAAATGGACAATTGAAGGCTATGTATATGTATTATGTAAATACTTTGTAACTTCTAACAACAAATATACATTCCTCCTACCTATTGTCGTGTTGTACACTGCCTCCATCGATACCAATCTGAAGAACGACAAAACATGAGCAACGTTTTCAACCTGTTTAAGGTTCCAGAAGTGACAAACCAAACAAAGAAATGTAATAAAGTTCTGACTTGTTGCAAACAATAACGTTGAATGTGGGATCGTCTGCTACGATTTGCCTACTTTTAATCCCATATAGTTTCAGGATGAATATACTGATCCTCGAAATTCACATTATCCCATTAATTGTGGGAAATTCCTGATAATTTTTCAATATCTTCCGATAGCTCAGCCTAAGCATTAATAATACTGATACAGGAACTTGTTTCACATCAGCTAATGTATCGTTAGAAAGCAAAAATGAATTATTACTAGCTTGTGCGTCGTAATAAATTTCTATCTGAAACTGGGTCAGTAGTTGGGAATATCATTTGAAGTTCATTTTTCTCTGATAGAAAGTTCGTGAGTGTTAACCTACTGGACAGCTATGTTTCTGTGTTATGAATAGAAATGCGTCATCATGAATATCAGTTTTGCGAGCTCATAAGGCTAGTAATGGGGATTAGCCTCAAGTTTACAAAAATAGTGTTTAGTATGTAACTATAGTTTACCATAAAACTGAGTCAGTTTATTTTAAATAAACGCATGGTAAACATCTAGATCCTTTCCAATGATAAATATTGGTTAGCAACGAAGTGTAATACTTCAATAAACACTGAAAATACGTAGTGTACTTTTATCTTCCTGGTTGGCTTGATGGTGAAACTCAAGTTGGCTGGACATTTTAACAAATGACGCCGAACTAGTAAGAAAAGGTTGACATTCGACAGCCGAAATCCACTCCACATCTGATAAATGACACGAAATAACGTGTGCGAAAACCTATAGATTGACTCTCCACCCTAATACATGCCTCGTTTAGCCTTTGGTGGTTCCCCGTCTAGCCTAAACGCACATCATGTGCTGGATGGGTGTGAGAAGCAGTGTATAAGAGATGATCTCTAAGAAGACGAGATAAAAGTGGCTCCACGACTCAGTAAGAATAGATAATGCTGTAAAATCTAATTAGTTTAAACCGAACTAGTTTGTCGTTGGTAAACACTTTTGATAGCTTGCTATGTTTAGCAGCATCTTTTCGTCTTTCCTTACTATAAAGAGCAAGGAAATACAATATAGTAATCGTAAAACAAAGTAGAATCGAGATCTCGGTTCTTTATGAATTTCATCGTTTTTTTCGAGCCATCCTGGAAAAGAAAAAAAATAGAACGTGATTGCATGACAATACACTCGTACTCGCGTAAACACACAAGGTGGGTCTGAAAAAAAATTATTACGTTTGCGACAGCGTGGAAGCGATTGAAAAAAATTGTTTTTTTATAAAAAAAGAATGATGCGCTTATTAGTAAAAAAGTTTTTTTTTAAATATATATAAATGAGCATATTAAATTTTTTTTATAATAAATAAGGCAAAGGAAATTCGAGATGAAGTTTGTGTCCTAGGTGCAATAGTCGTTTAAATGTTCTGAAAATCTTGCTCTTCTTCCAGAACGAGTTGTCTTAAAGTTATTTTCCGACTTTGACGAAGTATCAAGGTGTGTGTCGGCTGATGTGTAGGGTACTATAAGTGTAGGAGCCGTGTCGTTCGATTGTACTGAAGGCAAATCGACGTGAATAGGGTTTCCTAAGTACGCTGATTTGAGGCGGTTGATACTGATGCTATTGTTCGTTCCGTTCTTATCGACTATATAGTACTTGGGTTCACTTTGAAGGGTCCTTCGTGTCCACTTCGAACTGGCGCCCGTGGTCTGTAGTGATGGTTGAAGGGCAGCCAAAATTTGCAACCCATCGACGAAAGCGCAAGTCAATGCTTCAGCACTAAGGTCCCTCATGGGTATTGCTTGTGGCCATCGAGTGAAGCAGTCTACGCAGGTTAAGAGATATGAATATCCGTTTGAATCGGGTAAGGGTCGTACCGAATGTAGATGAACATGGTCGAAACGAGCGTCAGGGGTTTTGAAAGAACCTAAGGGACATTTGTTGCGTCTAGTCACTTAGATTTCTGGCAGCTTACACAGGATCGTGCCCACTCCCTCACGTCTTTATTCATACCAGGCCAGCAAAACCGTTCGCCTATAAGCTTGATTGTTGCACGAACACCTGGATGAGAAAGATTGTGCAACGTATTGAAGACGTTGCGCCGATGTTTTAGTACTATTGGACGATCCATACCTGTGGATGTGTCACATAGTGAGGTTTCCTTACCTGTTCCCATCTGTTTAATACGCAATACTTGTCTGAGGCTGAACTTAAAGACAATGCAAGAGGTTTATGATCGGTAAAAAGTGTGAATTCTCTTCCTTCGATGGAATGTTGGAAATGCCGTACAGCACAATACATAGCCAGGAGTTCCCTACCGAACGTGCTGAATCTAGATCGGTTCTGGATAATCCAGAATGGCCGCCACTTTGCTTCTAAAAGGTCGCATGCCTTGGGCATCAATAGTGTCTCGAAAATTCTAAGGAGTTGGTTCAGATTTGGCATTTCTGAATGCTTACAGTAATGCTATGTCTCTGGAGTCGTTCGAAAACAATGTCCAGATTCTGGAGATGTGATTCTCTGTCCGGACTTGCTATTAGACAGTCATCAACATACG